GGCTCAGGCTCAACGGCCTGTTCGCTGCTTGTCGGGCTGTTTAAATATTTGAAAATCCATTAAGCATATTGACAATGCCAATGTGTTTGGATGTCTGGTTTGGAGACGGGACCCCTGGCAGTTGCTGCGGCTGCGGCTGCGGCTGAATTTGAATTTGAATTTGAATATGGGTTCGCTTTAGGTTTCTTTTGCTGCTCCAGTTGCGCCTGAATGGATCATTAGTGCAGCTAATGGCGCAGTCAATAAATGACGGCCCCTATGCCACACCCCTATCCACACCCACTGTTCGAATTTGAATATGAATCGAGTGGGAGTTGAAGTAACAGGAAGTGAATGTGCCGCAGCCTCAGCCGCAGCGACAGCCGCAGCCTCAGCCGCAGCGACAGCCACAGTCACAGCCGCCAGCATTTCCGGGCAGTCGAAGGCGGCGCCAAGGCAAGACATAAAACGGATTTATTAGGTCATTCCCATATATACACTAAGGAGGGCGAAATCGAGCCACTGGATCTCTCATATAAATACTATATATATATATATACAAATATATATATATATCTGGTTTGCGTGCTGCGTAAGCACTGTCGGTATTTAGAGATAAGAGCTCAGTGGAGCTCTCATTATTCTTACAATTTGTGTGTGCCAAATGCGAATCGGAACTTGCTGACAATGAAATCTTATTTGTAAATTGAAAAAGGCCCCGCCTCGACGACACAAAGCAACCGATATTAACTGTCGCTTGGGGCAATGCAATGAAACTCCATTAAAAGGCTTCAAAGCTATGTACCATATGCTTAAATATGTAATAAAATTTTATTAAAAAATTTATTGAGTTTTTAAATTAAACAACATGTGTACGTTGGGCAAACAAACTTTGATATAAATTGACGAATCGATGGCAAAAAATATTGCATATGAAGTTTTAATTATAAATAAATAAAAATATAAAAAATCATAATTAAATGTAATAATATACACACATATACAATGCGTAAATTAATACACATTAAAAATCAATTGCAATATACATTTAAATATATTTTTAAGGGAAAGACCTAAGGCATCTCCTTCATTTACATTTTATATATTGTTCGTGTGAAGTTTCCAAACTAATTAATTCTTAAATATTCATTTATTATATTGTTTACTTGTTTTTCATGGAATTTCTGTTTCTGTTTGCCATTTATTTTTCACTGTGGGAATTAAAAAAAGATCTTTAACACATTGTTGTTCAGATTTTATGTCTCTCTAAAAAAAATTTGTATAGACAGTAATTAAATTTATAATAACAAATACATATTTCGCTATAAAACATATTATTTTTAAGTTTACATATTATTTAAAGAATCATTTTGAATCAGCTCCTAAATTAAACCATCATATATTGGTTGAGTTAGCTATCCTAACTCTTGCTCTGTTGATACTCAAAATCATCAAACTCTGGCTGGCACAAGAACAATTTTTAAAGCAATTTTTCGCTTATTTAATAAAAAATGGTTTAAGCCTTTGTAAATGTTGTAAAACATTGTCTTTGTCAGCTGACCGTAAGAGCTGAGCTTTAACCATTAATCAGCCCGTCACACGGCCAATCAATGCGTCAATCAAACTGGATACATGCAATACAAAAGTTGCGTTGATCAACAAAGAGTTGCATCAAATTAATTAAATATGTTTCACATATTGGGAAAAGAGCTGAAAGGAAAGATTTACGCCAAAAAGTCGAAGCACAAAAACAAATTAATTACAAACTGGGCCACAAAACTTATCGAGGCACATTTGTGGTCTATGCAATATTTATAAGCCGATTGCAAAAGGATATTTTACGAGTCTATTACTTTTTGCGCATATTGTCACGAGATTTCAGATGCATTGGCCCATTTATAAGCATATATATAAATACATATAGAGTATATGTGTATGAATATGCACTTTATTTTATTTCAATTTAAAGTTTTTAATGAGTTTTTGGCAAACAGCGCTAATGCCCAACACACAGCTGAATACGTTTTGCGAGTGAGTGAATTCGTTCTATACATACATACATATTACATATGCACCTATGTAAATGTATATTTGTATATGTATCGGTGTCTGTGTCCATGTTAACTCGTTTTGTGGCTTGGCATTTGTTTCGTTACGCCAGTTCATTTATTTTTGCCCAAAAGTTCATTTAACTATTTTCGCGCAGATTTAAGCAAATTTAAATGCAAAGAAATAAATGAAAAACACAAAAAAAAAATCAACAAAAATGCAAAATTGAATTCAATTTAAATGCATTTGCAGATTTGTTGTTATCGATGCAGCAAAATTTTGCCACGTCTGCTAATTGAATATTAAATTCGTAAACATATTTAGCTGGCATTCCATAGATATATATATATATATTCTATATATGTATGTATTTTTCAGACAAAAATCGCAGTTTAATTGTTGGCAGCACTCGCTGTTAATCTATACAAGAAAAAATCCATATATATGTATATGTATTTGGCTGCAGCCAAAAATTAATAACAATTTCACATTCACAATTGAAATGGCCAACAAAAGGCATCAATTCGGCATGGCTGCAAATGGCTGCCAGGATGCGTCCCGAGTCCTGTGTCCAGCTGCTGCCTGTCGTCTTCTTTTATGAGTTTGCTGCTGACAGCAGCATTGTTGGCGCCTCATGCCACAACAGAAGCTGAAGCTGAAGCCTGACACATCGATACAAAAGTGGCCCGGCGAGTGGCAACTGGTAGCTAGCTGGAAGCTGTTGCTGATGCTGTTGCTGATGCTGATGTCTGACATTAATGAGCATTGTGAAAAGATGCTCCTCAATTTGCCTGTCACTCAATCAACGGCAGAGCCAATGATTCGCATTATGCACATCGCCTTTTGGCGGTTTTAAATGCTGACTTAATAACGTTGCCGACATTTCGGACATAGACCGGGAAGCTACTTCAATGTGGCATATGGACACAAATGGGACTGCTCTTG